TGGACATCTCTCTGGGGGAGTGCAGAGAGGAACTGTCTCTTACCAACAGAAACATAAACTGGGTAAAAAATTATGGATCTGATTATCAGATTGGTCTGTTATGTACTGTAATATCTGGCAATCCACCTGTTAAAAGAAAATTTACTCTATCATATTACATGAACTGCTTGCTTTACTTTCTCCACCTTGTACTTTGAACAATTTCATGCATATTGTATTGAAGAAAAATGTATTAAGCATACTGCATTTTGTATTGCACAGCTGATATGTCAGACCTTTTAAAAAGCAATATGTGAAGGAAAGCGACATGTGAAACATGCACATTATTCCACATTGTAATGGGTTTTGCAATTATGGTGCAAGGTTTGAAATAAATGCATTTGAGAAAATCATTGCCTCTTTATTAAATGTTTATTTTCCAAAGAATTTTTAAAAGATCAAACAATAAAATACCTATTTAATATTAATTACAAATAACTCTTAAGAAGTTAAAGAAGTACTCTGTGAGAGTTAATATTAAGATCTAAGACTGAATTAGTGTTAGGAAGTGTTAAATGATTAACTCCAGCAGATTTGATATCTGACACTTTATAAGAGTTAAGATACTAACTCTCCAAAAAGAGTTAAATTAACACTTTTTGGTGTGGACCCATATAGACACTTTAAAAGTGTTGAAATCAAATCTGACAGTGTTAATCTGGGCCTCCTGGATTTGCTGTGTAGTAGTAGTTTCAGTAGTTCTTGAATGACCAGTTCAGTAGTTTAAACTGAATTTTATTTAGGGTTATTAGAAAAAAATGGCTAAAATTACTTCTTCACTTCACTTTTAATTAGACCATCTTTAATATAACCAGCAACGGCTGGATAAATTAGCAATGATCCCTTCTGCAGTCAAATCCTGTTGGTGATATTTGTACCGTGAAACTTTTTAAAATCGTATGTTGCCTTTTATTGCAATCATCTTTGTCACTAGTTTAACTTCTTACATCATTTGAAAGGACATTGTGTGACAATGACAAGCATCATTTTCAGAGAACCATCATTCAGAAACTATTCAGGTTGTGATATGTCCAAACAGAGCATGAGCATAATGTTTTGACTATTATGATGGTAATAATCTGCAGCCTGCCACAGTCTGCATCCTCACGTTTTACAGCCACTTGTAGAATGATCGATGTACATCGTGGCTTCTTATGGTTTTTCACATCTTGTGATGCTGCAGCTTCAATTTATTTTAAAATGTATTTTTATTGTGACTTTATGTGAAAATCACACAGAGCAGCTGGGAAGAAAACGGTTTTCCGGCCTAATTATAACTATTATCATTGCATAAGTGCCCCTTGTGTTCCCAAGGAGCAAACACATAAATCATGGAAACAGTTTGCTCGTGAGCTATTGTTGTCTTTGGTCAGCGGGAGATTCGTCAAAACTAAATGACAAAGAGAGGCTTTCAGGAGTGGATATTTTCCCCTCAGCACCGTCCGCAGAGATCCCAAAGTTCCCATTGTGCCTCCAATAAAGACCCGCCTGCGTCAGAGATGGATCCATATTGTCCCGCATAAACCGGCGGTGGGCCTGTTCAAACATGAAGAGGCTTTCCTTTGAACGGCATCATTATGAAATCTGACAGCCCAGTCTGATTAAAATTCATGCTGATTATACTTCCAGAGGCAATGCAATGAAGTGGAAGAGAACGTACATATTCCAGATACAGAACTGATTTGTTAGATACAAAATAACCTCATAATTGTATTTTTTTTGTCCTTTAAAACACATAAAGGAAAAATTAACAAGATCACATTAAAAGGCTGCAGTCAGAGCATAATGTGTCAGACTTGTGTACATTGCAGCAAGTTTCAATAAGCCTCATTATCTGCTATGCTGTCCAGCTCATCCACTCTGTTGTGCGTTTATTCATTCAAGAGGTAAATGTACTAAATCTGAGAATCCACAATAGCTTCCATCTGTGCTCGTGATTCACAATAAATAAACTAATTCAATACATTCTGCTAACTTTCTGTCCAACCAGACATCAATGCAGCCTGAGTTACACTTGGATCATCCTATGAAAACACAGTTTACGACAACGACTCAAAATGTTTTATCTTATTTTTGAGATTCACATGCTTTTTTTTTTTGCCTTGTGTTGTAGGAGTTCTCATTGCATGGCAATTTCTGGAGAGAGAGAAAGTGGGCCAGCTACAGCCTGAAGATCCGAGGAGCAAACATGCAACTAAATCACATGCTGCTCGAAAAGACAAGAGATCTCTGGTGGGTAAAAGAGTGACAGCATTTCCATATTTAAATCAGGTTCCTGCTCAGATTGCAGGAACCTGAGCAGGTACTGAGAAGTACTCCTGCAGAAGGAAATAATACAAATGTCTGGTTGTTGTTTCAGATTTGTATTTGTAAAAGTGGTTGCGAGCCAAGTGTAATTTCTTTCCACTTCTACAAATACTCACCTCTTTGCTTCTTTTATGGCATAAAATCCTAATAAAAGCTGAAGTTTGTAGTTGTAACGTGACAACATGTGAAAAGTTTCAAGGGTGTGAATACTTCTGCGCAGTAAGAAGGCAATGTAAGTGTTACAGACAATGTTGTTGTGATATCCCAAAATTATGTTTGGTTGGGTTTCCATGCATGCAGTGTTAAAAAAATGCATCAACAATTTAAAGGTTTTATCTTTTTTATTATTATTATTATTATTAACATTTGTGTGAAATAAATGTTTCTGAAGGTAGACAAGGAACATTTTTTCCTAAAAATAAATACAGAAATGCCAGAGGTCATTGTTAGGAAACAGAAAATATTGCTTATGTGTGTTTGTAGGCTCGGGTAAAACTCTCAACAACTCCATCTTTATCAGCTAAAGATCAGATAATTACAGCCTTTTAGCAAAAACTGCTCATTTTCCTCAGTGATACATTAAAGTCACATTCTGGCTCAGCCTTGGCCGGTCAATGACTACATCAATGTAGAAATTGTAAATTAGAACAAGACAGCAACAGTTTGATACAGTTTTGGTCAGAAGTGCACGGACTCCAATCATTAGCATGAATGTCCTTACAATCTTGTTGCTTTTAGTTACATATTTAAAACTGTTCTCGTCAGAGATTCCCAATTATGTGCGCTCTCTGTGTTGCAGACATCAACAAGCTTCTGGTATAATCCAAAAACCAGTTGAAGTTTGTCTCTCGGTGGTATCTGAGTTGTTTTGGAAAAAAGTGGCTGAGATCATCTGTAGGGCTAGAGAAAACCCTCAATAAATTGAAATTTCTGCACTTAATCTTTGTTCTTAAACACCACTGAAAATTCATGTTGTAAAATCATCCCAGAATGGTTAAAAATTTTAAAACAAAAGTTCAAATGACTCACTAAAAACCTTGATTGATTTTAGCCTTTATTCTCGTAGCAGTAAAGTTCTGACCAGAACCGGAAATCTGCGTTTAAGCCACGTATAGCAGGAGCAGCAGGACGACGGCTGCCGGTGACGTGGACTTGGAGTGAAGAAGAGACGGACTCGACTTGGCAATGACCGGGCGGGTGAAGATGTACGGGTGTTCCTGCAGACACACGAATAATCAAAATAATTAGGTATAATTACAATTAAAATAAAAAAATGCACAGTTTTTCTTAACTTTGGCTTTTGGTTTTTACACTAATTTGCAAATAATTTTCCTGATTCAGTACCAGTAGCTCCTCAGAGAGACTGCTAAAAATGCTCACCTTTGGTGGACAGATGAGCTTGACGGGTTCAGAAAAACTCCTCACAATCATTTTCCCTCCCCCAGGCTGAAACTGTGTGCAGGACACAGAAATACATGGTAACGTGTTTGCAGCTCGGTGTTTACTTTTCAATAAAAGAAAGATATTTTTATAAACTATGAACAGCAGTTTGGAGTTTGAAATAACATATCTCTGGAGACGATGTGCAATTTGTTTTCCCAGAGGGCGTAGATGTTAAATGTAGTGCAACGTAACATAATCAAGAAAGAGCCCGTAAATGATCAACATTTGAACGGCTACTTTTCTAACTTCCCGGAGCAGCTAGCTGTGCTTCAGTGCCAGTGGTAGAAGAAATATGAATCTGCAAATACATCTGTTTCTATAGCATTTCTATCTGCTGAAGATGTATCTAAATGCTTGGTTCAAACAAACAAACAAACATTCAGTCGGGGTGCGTAGTAGTTCACCATGTTGTTCCACAGTCCTTTAGCCAGCTCCTCGTGTCCCTTTATGGTGATGTGGAAGCAGTCGTGAGTGAAGAAGTCCATGTCAATCTTCCCGTTCTGCTCAGAGGGATAAACCATCTATTCTTTAGATTCAGTGACAAAACTCTCTGACTAATCAGAGTCACGAGCTTCAATTAGCAAAAGCTCCAGCTGTTTGAGCAGGCATCCTGATGATTCCATCCCCTCACCACAAAGTTTTGTGCTGATTCACCTCCTGAAAGCAGATGCTCGCATCACAACAATATGACTGGGTTTTTTTTTTTTTTTGGTTTTTTTTTGTGTGTTTTTTTGTTTTTTTTTTTTT